CACCAATAAATATAAACATAGTTTAATATCATGGAGCAATCTAACAATACAAATTCGAATAAACTTATATTCGAATTTTTTTTTTAATTTATTCATTATTATATAAATTAAATTTGTTTTTATTAAAATGGCAACTTGAAGAAAAATATAATATTATTTATAAATCATTTGGTGAGAGGAATTGTGGTTATCATGTCCGTGTCAACGTATCACTCTTCCTTTCTCTCCATTGTTATCCTCTTATACAAATATTACTAAAATATTTTATATTTTAATAAATATATTCGTTATTTTTTTATATTTTAATAAAATATATATCAATCATATTGTTGGTGCAACTGTGCAAGTACCCAAAATATTCTATTAAACATATATTTAACAAACATGTTTAATTTTGAAAAACCGTCATTTTAATAATAAAATATTAGTTTTATGGGAGTTATCAAAACTCTATAATAACCACTATTTAACAAGTTGATCAAATGCCCATCACACGTTTCTTTTAGAAAGAAACATGTTTTTCTTTAAAAAGAATGTAATACTCGTTGGTGATTTTAGTTTTACTGGTCGTTTAAGTGTAATTGGAATTAACACAAGTATCAATACAAATTAGGTGGTATAGAGTGCACACTTTTATATAAGATGAGTTTGATTTGGATTACGACAAAATGGCAGGGTCAAGGGCAACACCTCTAAAAAACTTTTCAGATTTAAGTTCTAAAAGACTTAGAAATTTCATTTAAGTCTCGTGTGTTTCAACTTTTGTAGGCTATCGTTGAAGGATTGTATAAAGTTGTCGCTAAAGGTCTATTAGCTATCACTGAACAGCCTTCAACTGTCGTTGAAGATCGATTAGCTATTGTTGAACCACCTTTTGTTTTCTATCAACTCATTGTTGAAGGTTGTCGCTGAACAAGCAGTTTTCGGAACTTAAGATTCGATTGTAACTACTTTTTTACCTTATCTATTAGCAGTTATAACCGTTTGTAACTGATTCTAACTTCCCAGAAACCGTCAATCTTATCAAAAAAAATTCGAATGTAACAGGTATATACACGTGATATATACTAGTTTAAGTGCACGCTTAAAATTTGAACGTTCGAATATTCTCTAGTAACTTGACTTTCATTTCTATGCCTAAATTCGAAAGTGGTCTTAAGGATTACCTTAGGTTAAATTTCGTGATACCCAGACATACGGTCGAAATATCAATTTGGGAAGTGAATTCACACAATCTTTAAGCAATCCATATTTCAATTACCATTTACCCTATAATCCTAAATATTTTCTAATAATAGTTATATACGATAAATGAACTCACATAGTCTTCTTACTTTTAGGTCCATTTGGTTTGCATAGTGGAATGGATTTGGAGGATTTGAAATCCATCCCAATCTCATATTTGATTTGTTGGATTGTTCGGATTTGAAACTTTAGGATTTAATTGAAATCCTACAAACATGGTATTTTGAAATCCTTAAGGGATGCTCGGGATTTCGTAGATTTGTATGAAATAAGGTTTTAAAAAATGTTAAAAATATTTGTTTATTAATAATCAATTAATAAAAATATAATTTAATTATTTATAAGTTATTTATAAATAATCGAATTCAATTTCATTCCAAATCCTACAAACCAAACACGTCAATGATTTCAAATTCATTCCAATTCAAATCTAAATCCCTAAAAAACAATCATAGGAACCAAATGGATCCTAGTGAATTTGGAAACCCTAACCTTCTAGAAGTTCAAAGGTTATGAATTGAGAGACCGTTAAACCAAAGACCATTTGATTAAAAAATGCTTGCAAAGAAGAGTTTTGCATTTAATAGGGGAAAAAATGTTTATATGGACGCATGGATAGGTTTTTCTAGACTTTAAAAAGCTTTGAATTCATGACAAATAGTGTTTTCCAACAACCAATTACTGAAAAGCTTGAGATTCTTACAAATATCATGAAATGAAATGAAATGTAATATAACACATATCTTTCTGATTTCAAATTCTTACAACACAGTGGAAATAGGACTGCTCCTAAAGTGTACGAAGTGGTGCCACCACACCAGGACCTTCGATAGTTGAGGGCCTCCAAATTTTCAAATTTTTTATAATAATTTAATTATTAGTATATAAGAAAGAAAATCCAGCACTTGCAACAAATTGCTTCTAGCTTGGTAATTCTTGTTTTTAACTATTCTATATTTTTCTTAATTATGTTTAAAAAAAATCGAAAAGTTATTTGTGATCGACTAACTCTCAAGAAAGATTAAATGTTTTAAGTTTGATTTCCCAATTGAAAATAAGTTCGTACCAAATTCTAATCATGAACGTATAATAGATGATTTCGCTTCTAAAGTGTTAGAAAATCTACGTTCATAAAATACTAATGCCTAGTTATTTGCTTTTTTGTAAAAACGTACGTAGTAGTATCAACTTAGTATTGGAGTCCGCTTTAGTTTGATTGTAGCTAGCGCGCCCCTTTTCTTTCTGCTAATACCCCGTAGGCTGAGGAGCAAAAGGAGGAATCTAGTTCGTGGCCTATTAGAAGTAGAAGGCGCTCTGGTAAACTATGTGTTATATGTTGTACATTATACTTATTATATGTATTTTTAATTTTGTTACTAAACTTACCTTTTGACTCTTATCACCTGATTAACATAGGAGATTTGTGAGCATTATTATAATGATATAAATGTCGGAATGATTTGTATTTGTATGTTGTTTATGATTATTTTATATTTCCATGTATATTCTAAACCAAAAGGATTTATTTTTGAATTTGATTAGCTTAAAAAATATAGGGTTATATTTAGGTTTTTGTACAAAGGGTTGTTTTACTGGTTTTTCATTGGGTCATGTATGAATAAAATTGTCATTATGAATTATACTGTGTGTATAGATTGGAAATTTTTTTATTTGGGAGGGTTTTTCATGGACGAAAGGGGTGTGTTTTTTAATTTGAAGAGTCTGGCTTGGAAAAAACTTGGTTTTCTATGTAAAGCTCCCCTCTAGAAGCCGAATAAGCCACTTCTATATCATTAAACCACTACCAAACAGTCATGTTTGGTTGACCCAATAAATTGTAAGTCTCATTAAGCCGCTAATGAACAGGTCCTAGTGTCAAGTTTATTTACTTCCATAGGCAAAAGAAACCCTGATGACTCTTTACAGATGTAGTGATATTATGTAGCTATCTTCATACCTTGGCATCATGTACTTCACAAATGTAGAGCTTTTACTTGACCAACTGCACAATTAATGTATCAAATTACCTACTTCCATCCTATCCTTCTCATCTACAAAATATAACACATTAATGCCAACTTACATGATCTATGATGCTTGCTGCTTCATCCTTTGAAACGTATTGCTGTTCGGGTTTCAGTCATAACTGTCTCGGCTTCTTCTGAATGCTTTTTTCTGTGAAATAACCTTCTTGTTCTGCAGCCGTTTCTGCTCTGATACAGCCGCTCTGTATACCAAAAGAAACAAAAGTAAAAATTCAACTTTGAAAATATAGGACCTCAATAAGTATAAAATGACGGGGTGATGGTGGTAGAAGAAGAAAGACTTACATTTTGGTAATTTTCTTGACTTGTTCTTCGGATGGAGGTGGTGGGACATACGAAGCAGCATCAATAATCGCCTACCATATTCATCTCTTTTAATATGTAAAGAGAAATCTCTAACGTTAATGGTGAAATGGTAACTAACATTCTACATCTAGTAACGAGATTCTTGCTATTGGTACCTGTAATTTCTCCAAGGCATCCTCAATGTTACCCCTGAAGACAAGATTTTACACGTCACATTTGGTTTTGTAAACACAATATGTGGAAATATAAAAGCGAAAGGATAAGTGGATAGAATTTAACTTCTGTGTTCTGGTCCTTGTGGAGGAAATCACAAGCTCCCCATCTTTGTTGATTCGATTCTTTTCCTGGTTAAAGAAGATATATGGATGGTAAGAGGACATTCTGACAATTGTATCGGCAGCAGAAAATTAAGCTGAACTTTGAACTATGAAGTAGTAGTGAACTAACTAACCATCTGTAAGATTTTCTCTCTAACCCTGTCACTTAACCAATGTGCCGCATTAACATTAAACCTCATATCAACCTTGGTATTTACTGCAAACAAAATGATTGATATGGAAAAAGAGAAATCTTGGCATAAGAACAAGAAAAAGTTCAGCAGTGAAGCTAAATGCAATTTACTTGAATTAGAAGTTACAAGATATCGAACCTTTGTTGACATTTTGACCTCCAGGTCCACCACTCCTAGCAAAGCTAACAGAAACATGATCTAAATCACAAAACGGAACTTTGTGAAGAAATAGTTGCATCTAAAGAAAGAAAAAAGAACATGTAGACCATTATAGAGAAGACATCAAAGTAGAGAGGATCTACATTTATATATGATAAGCATCATAAAATTCGAGTTTGAGAAGAAGTGGAGCTAAAATAATTATAAAGAGAATAGTGCAATTGACTGAGAGTGAATAATGAAATTTGTATGCAAAGAAACTACTAACTCCTAGTTCCATGTATGACAGAAAGAGGACATTTACTTCTGGTATAAACCTTACTTTGTAGATTAAAGGTCAATAAAACAGCGAAGCTGTCAGCGTAATGCAACAAACTAATTATTAGATTACAAGAAGCAGATCGTTATCTATAACATAACAAAACCAAAATAAAGTTCCAGAACAGTCCCATCAGGCCAATTAATCGTTATTGCAATGCAACTGATATTCTACAGAGTGTCTATTAGAATTTTTTTTTATTAACCTAGATATCCAACCAGCTATGCGAGCCGACTAATCCCAGAACGACTACCTGCTTTGCAGGTAGCCAGAGTCACCACATTTGAACCTCCGTGACCACAAGGGGATTTTTGTTCCTCCTTGAATTTGAACCTGGGACTTCCAGGCACTTTGACCTTTGGAGCTCAAGTTCAAACCAATCAGGCACCACCCTTGTGGTTGGAGAAATTACATCTTATATGCAACAAATGACTCTGTGCCTACTGCTCTTCTTGCTTGGGCAACCATTTGTCTTAAAGAAGTGGTGATATCCATGAGCATATGCCATCATAAGCCTTATGTATTTATTCCAATTCTCCATTTATATATAATTTTGCAGTAATTATTGATGTATATAAGTCTCCATGCTACTAACAAGGACCACAAGATTAATGCTTATGTATAAATCTTTCAAATATTTCATACTAGAAGTAATAAACTCCTGGAACTTATAGTAAGAAATAGCATTCTACTAATGGTATGATTTAACTCGAGCAGCACTCACCCGCCAATCAACATTTAAGTCCAAATAACAATATTCTTGTTTTAATGTTCAATTTCAACTTCATCCGGTGTCAGAAAGCAAGCAAGTTTCAATCACTGGAGAATTTTACAGCAGATTTCCAATTTCAGTGACCTCATAAACATTTCGATTGACATCTAATGTAACCAACATAGCGGTCCAAATAACCAAGAGTTCACTTTCACTATTTACATCATTGCACAATTAAAATTGTCGCGAAGGAGATCATAAGATTTAGAACCCCTTTCCCCCAAATTAGAACTAGGGTACGTATTCCGATTCTACATCAGCTCATGTAACAGTTGTAGAAATTAGACTCATGACATAGAGAACACAAAATGAACAATTCATCCAAATAGCAAATAAGATTTAGAGTTTTCATTTGTTACAAGTATACCTAGAGTAATCTTGGGAATAGGTTCATCGCCTCCAGAAGCCCTCTCCATGGCTTCATGTAACTGCTGTTGAACCTGAGACAACCGTGCCGACGCCTTCCTGTTGCCGCCGCTGCTGCCATCGGAATCGATAGCCCGGGCACACCGGATAGGAGCGTAGCTGATTGGACGGGAAATGGACGGGACGTTGGAAAGGAGTTTGCAATAGGTGCGAATGGAAGGTAATGATGGCGATGGGCAGCAAATCTGTTTGACGAGAACTGTGGCGGTGGTTCTAATTGCCGCCATTGAGGATTCCAAACTAATTTTCGAATGGCAGATCGGTTTTCTTCATAGACGGTGGACACGCACACAAACAGAGAGATTGCCTTGTTTTCGTGTTATTGTAGAATTTTATATAGGCCACTAACCAAGGTTTAAAGATAGGATTTCTTTTCCCTTTCTTCTTACTTGTGAAAAAACAACAATTCAAAATTGCCATTTTAGTCTAAAACTTTTCATATCTCATTGATTTGATGATCTCACAACAAAGGTGCTCAAAAACCCCTGGCCATCCTCTGTGAAATAATTCAATCTGATATCTAATCAAGTTGTAAAATTTTCAAACAGTAGATATTGAATTACAGTCATTTGAACTTAACCCAACCAGGAAACCAAATCCTTTTATTTTTTAGATTTAATATGACTGTTAAGCCCTATTAATATATACATTAGACAATTATTCCATCATTTTTTAGATTTAATGACTGTTTAACCCTATTAATATATACATTAAACAATTATTTCATCATGTACCCTCTTCATATACATGTATTCAATATATTATCCATCTCTATATAACTTCTTCGTAAATATGTTCACTATGCAAATTAAGAAAAAATAGTCAAATATGATATACTTAAACTTTAAGTTGTATGGATAGCTGTACCAAATGATTGATGATAAAAAAGAAATTAAGAGTATAGAGGACAACATATTCAAAGTTAGAATAATATTTTGATGTATCAAAGTATCAATATAACCAACTCATGCGGTTCGGACTAGGTAGGGCTACAATTTGGTTTGGGTCGGGTTGAGATTTTTTAACCGCAAACATTGTATTGAGTTGTTCAAATGATTTCAATCAATCAACCCGACCCATGATGTTACTTTGAGCCAAAATGCACTGCACCTGACTCATACACGCACAGTTACCGAAAAAACATGGACAAGATCAGAAACATATTCAATGCAAGCTTCAACATGTATCAATGTTAATGAAAAGAGCCAAGGAGTTGCCCTGGCACCCGTTGTACAAGAACAACGTCACTGTTCTTTACATTTCGCTATCTTTCATCCTACATGTATAACACCCGATTCTAATATTATATATCAGCTGATATACACCTTATCTTCAACTTATTACTGTCTCCTAACCCTTGACGATGATTCAGCTGCACTTGCTCTTCTCCCACCTGCACGTGCGTTCTCGCTTGACGGCAGTGCCCAACCACCCCTGCTCGCCCCTTCAACACCAATTGTCAACAAATGAGACCATCAGTACAAGGGGAAAAGATTTTGGGACCCAATTAGCACTAATGCACCGGATCCMATCAGAACCCCGCAGTTAAGCATGCCCATTTACCTAATATTTTATTCTGATATCTATTTCCATATATGTAAAATAGAAACTTTATAATGTTTTAGTTCTCCTGATAACGTATCATATTTTGTATGCAAAAAGTAACTTAAAAGTTAAATACAGAAGTGCAAATAAAGATCATATGGCATGACATAATGTTAACTACTACCATGAGCATTGGTTCCATCAGTCCAGCCAGGCAGATGCTTTGTAGCTTTTCCTTTCCAAGCCTTTTCAAATCCAGCAAGTTCATCTGATAACCATATTAATAAGGCTCTTTGGTTAATTACTGTTGCATCACCTTCTGGAATGCATTACAAGATACAATATATAATATATATATATATATATACACACACATGTGTGTGTATGTATACCTTCGTTGATGTTGTGCAACATTTGCATTGTATCCACCTCACCATCTGATTTCAGATGCCTTGAAACAGTGTGTCCCTAACATGCCAAATACTTCATTTCGTTAGTGGTGGGAATATACAAAGCAACTTACTAGCTTGCGTTGCCTGTAAGCCATTGTAAAGAAAGAAAATCACAATAGCAAGAATTTTATAGTGAATTATTAAATTATATACCTTATCATAGATTCCTCTAGAGATTCTATGAGCTGCCTGACCCGTCAATGAATCAGCTTTTTTATGTTCTTCAAATCTCAGCTGAACTCCCACAGAACAGATCATAAAAATCAAGAAGATACATACATACATATATACATATATATATATATATATATATATTCAAAAAAAGCTTACAGTTACTTACACCATCACTGCCAGCTCTTCTAGTACTAGATGAGGTATAATATTCTCCATTAGAACCCCCATATGTAACGGTGGAACTCTCAAAAGTGAAGCTATGAGCTTGTGGACGTGAGTGTGTATCATGCATGATGCTGAATTGGTTCCCATACTGCGTCTGTTTCAGCTCTCTTTCTGCAAGATAAAAGTTCACATTCATTTGCATTGATGTAAACTATATCCAATTTCTATTGCATAAAATGGGATGCGAATCATAAATATATTAATTGGTGCATCAGCAATTTAACTAATTTTGATATTTTGAATTGGACTCATAAGCTCAACCCTTTTTAGGAAAATTGAAATTCCCAAAGTTCTATCCAACTGTATTCTCTTTAATTTCCACCCATTGTACATCACCAACATTTAGTTTTCCATGTCCATCTTCACCTCATACCCGATGCTTCTCACAAAGATATGTTATATCGAAATTCCCTAGAGTATGGGCATATCTATATAGGTTTCTTTAACGTTTTAAATTTTATTTTGCAAATCGAAAAAATGTTCCACAGTTCCAGTACATAAATCAACGCATAAAACTGGAAACTTCACCTTTAGTTCCATCATCTGGCTGCTCAACATAATGTTGTCTCGCAGACCTACCATGCTTATGAGGATTCTCTTTCTTACCGTGCCCAGCTTCTGGTTCCTCTTTCTCATTGTCAGAGTTCAGTTCTTCAATAATCAGGCCCCTAGAACTATCAGACAGGGATTGCCTGTGCTCATGAATTCTAGGTGCATGTGCATCCATGAAAGGACTTCCGTTTGAACCATATAAGCTTGATCCAAATGAATTTACACCCATAATTGGATTCCCTGCATTGCCAAATGGGCTTACACCCATAAATGAATTCCCTGCATGGCCAAATGGACTTGGCTGCAACATTCCACCCAGTGGTTGCGTGAAAAACGGGTCATCAAATGGGTCCCTTCCTCCAAATAGGCTAGGCATACCCCCAAAACCAGCGAAAGGATCCCCGAAACCAAAGAAAGGATTGCCTCTTCCTCTCCCGCCCTGCATCTTCTTCAAATTGTCTACCTGAAAAATGTTGAGCAATTCAATGAAGTTATTTATCCTTATTCCAAGATCAAAGCTCTTTAAAATTCTCCATCAAAACAATATGACACCTATAACGAAAGCAAAGTACAAGCACATGATGCAGTACTCATTAGTGAGCTCGTAGCATATGAAGATATTTTACTTTATCCACATATACATAAATATGAAAGTCAGATTAAGCAAGACCCCGAAAGGGTCAGTAAGGAATTACTGCATTTAGAATCCCATTTACTCCAGAATTTAGACAAAAATGGAAATCTAATGCAGAGATCTTGGGTGGAAGTAGGTGATATTTTAGTGGGTAAATTTACGTCCCAAATGGTGAAAGAATCATCATATGCCCAATAATTTTACGAACCATCCTTGTTCATCTTCCTACCTGTGTTTAGTGTTTTCTGTTACCATAATTAAATCGATTAGGCAAAATCATCGTGAAAGCTTAATAACAAAATTCACAACAAAAATCAGAGTTATGTAAAATCAGACGTGCAAATATATAAGAGAAGCCACAAAACTGAAATCAAACCCTAGGAAGATAATCAGATAAGGAGGAGCACTGAATTTTAATGGCAATTACGAGGGAGGTAGAAATTTTGTGGTGGTAATCGTTGATGCATTTTGGGATTTCAGAGACTCGAGTAGAAGTGCGTTCATCTATCGGTGCGTAAGATAAACAAAATTGGCGTCAAAACCTTACGATTTGGCACAAAAGGGCCAAGCAGAATTGACTGTTGAAAAACAACAATCACCAATTTCCATCTTTCAAAATATAAAAGAACATCCTCTCGTTCCTATAATTGATCATCATGAAAGCCATAAACACGAAAAAACACATAACGAACACACAGTGGTATCATCAAACATAAAATTCGATCAAGATCGCTTATTATTAACCCATAAAAACTGAAAGCTACACAATCCGATCATACATAAAAAAACACGCAGATACGAAAGCGCCATATAAATGAAATCAAAACCATGTAGACGTACCTGCGGAGTGAATTGAACACCAAAATCCAGTGATTTTTAGGAGAGAAGTAGAGAGTCGACGGTAGTTGACTAGTAGTAGGTGATAGTTTTGGGGTTTCTGGGAATCGAGTAAATCTGAATTCAAGAATTGTTGCGAAAGAAAAGATGAACATCAACAAAACCCGAATTGTTTGACCCGGGAAGGTCCGGTAGTTTCGACCCGACTATCGGTTTAATTGAACCGTAATTTCAAAAGATCTATTTTTGGTTAACCCCTAGGGGGAGTAGGGGTTGGGAAAGCGGCTGCCATTGGACCATGAGTCCATACCTAGCGTATTTAATATATGATCTAGAAATGTATTGAAGTAATATAGTGAAATAGATGTTTATCTTAGTGATTCATTTTATATTTTGGTTCTATCGATGTTATAATGTAATTTTATATAATTTTGAAAAAAACAAAAATATTCTTATTTTTAATAAAATATAAATTTGAAAATATTATAAGAATTTGAAAAAAAAAATCGATATTAGTATCAAATTAATTATTTAATAGTTCTCGTTTTTGTATAATTTTTTTAATTTAATTTTTTATTATAATTTAATTGAAGTTTAATGACAAACTAATTTATTTTTGGTTTACGAGTTTTTTTAAGATAATAATTAAGTATTCTGTTATAACTTAATAATTATTTTAATTATATTTTAGATTTTTTATATTTACAATGATGTTTATTTGTAGTTAGTTACACGAATTCAAACATGAAGCTTTAATAAGATGTATTCACGTACATTCTACTTGTAATATTGAACTTTAAGTAATACGCATCAATAAAAAGTATTTTATGCATAAAAAATTGTTTTTGAGAGTTTTTGTCAAATATTTTATAAAACAATATTATTATGTCATCTTTAACGGTAATTCTATTTTAGAAATTCTAAAGACTTGGGAGAGATTTGTTCCAGCAACTTCATCTAAAATAGAGAAAAAATAAGAGAGAATGAAGAAATCTTCAAATTTAAAAAAAAATAAGAGAAAAAAACATAACATATTTATTGGAGATGCTCTCATTCATAAAATTAAATAACTAATTTTAAAAGAAAAGACAATAGCATTTTATAAACTAATGGGCCCATACGATGCAAAAAACAGTCTATTCTCATAAATTTTTATTTATTTAGTATTAATGGTTTGATCCATTTTTATATTACAAACGTTAATTGATTTCAATTTGATGTCATGGCTCATTAATATAGCTACAAGCCTACAACTACGTCAATCGTACGCAATCGATCATATAGGGTATTAGCAGAGAATATTGGTATCTAATTTGCTCGATTTGTTTATTTTTTATTTTATAGTTATCCTTTTCCTACATTAACTCTTTGTATTAGAGTTTGTATAATTTGTATTCATCTGTACATTCACGTGCTATACAAAGGAAATCTTGAAATAAACTGTTCTAAATTTAATATGAAATATATATGGTATAAGAAAGTTAACATTCAGACATTTATCTATTTAAAACTCAAATACTAATAGTTAATGGAACAAATGTTTCTTTGAAACTGTATATCCAAAATTTTCGATCTCAACTGAAAATTAAAACCCTAAATTCTAAAAACAATGTCCAAAACATATTTATCAGAATTGGAGTTTATTCAATATACAATTAACTGTTTATAATGAAAATTGCAGATGTAACTTATTAAGGACTCATAGTTAAGATGTGAGTGAGAGGATGATGTGAGAAGACTTATACATACATACATACATGGTCGAATATATAGATACAGTTTGTTCTTCCTATATTGAATATATTATCTTTCAAAATACATTATTCAAATATAATAAATGATATAAATATCGATCAAACACTACATCAACAGTTTAAAAGATTTGAGATATGGATGTCTATAAATCAATAGCAATTTAATGGAGGATGGTCAATTGGTCATGGTCCATATTTGCCCTCTAGAAAAGGGAAGGCTAGGAAGATGACCATTGTCATAACCTAAGCATTGGATCCCAAGTCATGATATCAATTGTGTATATATTGATAATTTGATTATCTGGTATTTGATTGTTCTTTCTGTTTATTTATTATTAAAAGAATATATAATTATAAATAAATAAAAATTAAAAGCCCGTAACAAGTAAAAAATTACTATGTATAATTTTGAAAACCAAAATATCATTTAGACCATCTCTAACGGAAACTTTAAAATAGAGAAAACGGGGATTGTGTTCTCTGTTTTGCTATGACACATTCTCTATATTGTTCTTTAAAGTAAAGAAAACAAACCATTTGAGTTGTGGGCTTGTGGTGCACTGGTTAAATCTCGGAAGAAGTAGTGAAAAATTCCATCTATCACGAGTTCGAATTCAGACGATGTCAAAGTCTTTGTGGTCATGAAGGTTCACGTGTGATGATTCTAGGCCTTTTATGGTCACACAAGGGATTAGTCGGTGTTTATAAGTTAGTCCGGAAATTCACAGTTACTAAAAACAAAGAAAACTCCAGGTTTAGAAGATTCTTTAAAATTTAATTTGAAAAGAGAGAAATTGTTTTTTATTTATTTCTAACGATAAGATCGAATTATTATTATTATTATTATTATTATTATATTTTAAATATATTAAAATGGTAAAATTATAGAGTATTTTGGTAATATAATTAACATTGAAGTCTCAAAAATAGAAAATCTATTGAAGTGAATGTAATTTAATTTAAAAATAACTTTTATCAACTAGTTAATATATATATATATATATATACACACACACACTAAAAGGGTACTCGTGCAATGCATCGAGATACATTTTCATTTCAATGTTTCGTTTTATTTTTTATCCATGTCGATATAATACGATGTTATGTGGTTTTGAGAAAACGATAATGTTTTTATTTTTGAATAAAATATAAATTTAAAAATATCATATAAAA